AATAACAGCTGATCAAATTTCAGTCAGTTTAATTAGCCAGTGATATGTTCCTGCAAAATTTTTGTTTCACCGAAACGGATTGTTGTTATTGTATAGAAAAATTTTGCGATAACAGCTGATCAAATTTCAGTCAGTTTAATTTGCCAGTGATACCTATGTTCCTGCAAAATTTGTGTTTTACCGAAACGGATTGTTGCTATTGTAAAGAAAAATTTTGCAATAACAGCTAATCAAACTTTAGTCAGTTTTTGCCACTGATATGTTCCTGCAAAATTTTTGTTTTACGAAAAGGGAGTTTTGTTATTTTGTTATTATAAGGAAAAACTTTGCAATAAACAATAACAGCTAATCAAATTTTAGTCAGGTTAATTTGCCAGTGATACGTTTCAGCAGCATTTTTGTTTTACGGAAAGGTTGTTATTATTATAAAGAAAACTTTGCATCAAACAACAACTGAATGTAGTTACAATGTTGCGGTACTTCGTCGAGCAGTTCTGGACGAGCAGTTATAATTCCACGAAGAAGTCAGAAAGATTTACTTTGAAATCTTTTGCGCAATTACATAACAGTCACACACATACACGCACAGGTACGAAAATCACACTAATTAATTCCTCTCATTTATACACGTACAAGTAATTTTAAACTCCAAAGAAATTGAAATTGAATCAAAAACCCACCGCGTAACTTTGCGATACATAAATATAATCCTTTTAAATAGCTATTAAGGTAGCAACAAAACATAGCAATTATGATTAATTCGGGCGACGCGATTGTAATACCCCCCCGATGCTATTTCTATCAAACAAGAGGATTCGGGACGGACAAGAGGGGCTGGGAGCGGAGGGAAAAGACGGGGAGAGGCTGATCTCCCCTTTGTCGCGTAGGTCCCTTTAATCTCGCGACGGCGAGAGCCGGGTGGCGGACCGGTAACTATCGGCTCGGTAACCGCGTGCGATCGTGACTAGTGCCAGCAGCTATCTCCGTTGTTAAGCGAGCCGTTAGGTAGGTGGACCGGGCGGGCTGCCTTTCGGCAGGGGGTGGCGGCGGATAACGTGTGCGCCGCGATACCGTGTGTAAAACTACGTGGCGCAGGCGCCCCGCGTGAGATGAATTCTCCATCTCCCGCCCCCCCCCCTGCGCCTCCTCCTCCTCCTCCACCTCCACCTCCTCCTCATCCTTCCTTCCGCGCCTTCGTCGTCGGGCTCCTGATCCGCTCCGCTCCGCTCGCCCGCTCAGTCAGTGGCCGTCGTTCGAGGGTCGGTCTCGGCAGAAGCGCGCAGACCAGGACTTGGATCTTCCGGTCCCGCTTCAAGCGCTCGGTTTACCCTGCCGCGAGTTGACGATCCCTCCCGGACGAGTCTATGACGCTCTAATCCCTCTGGTCTCCCGGGGACGGAAGCGCGGAAGACGAAAG